CGACCGCTTCAAACTGTAGCGAGCAATGCAGTGCTTCGGGCACACTTTGTCACGCGCAACGAAGGAGTTTTTGCCAGTAGGCGAGCTATTGCGACAGCAGGCGTGCCAGCACGAGCGTGTACGTTGACATGAGCTTGGGTGTCACAGCGAAATTACAAGCAGCGCGGTCGCTCCCACACTGTGGTCAAACTCGTTCAACTCCAGCGCGCCTAGGTGCACGTCGTGAACTATAGTGACAAATTCAGAGCCACTGCAGTGAACGGAGCGGTCATTCCAACGATGCGGACACAACGAGGGACGAACACAGTAAATTATATACGCACGTAGGCGCACTCCGGCACGCAAGTTTTTTATTGTCAGCCAGAACATGGGCACGGGGCCAAGCATTGAACACGAAGCGTCAACGCCAGAACTATCCTTACATGTGCCGTGAGACTAAGTGCTGCACAAAATCAGTTGCAGCCCCAACTCAACACTGAGCGCGCAGTTTGTCGAAGGCAATCCCAAATTTGCTCCCTCTTCAGCATATAAGGGCAAAAAAGGCCCACAGAACAAAAAAAGGGTACAAGCTGCGGACGCGTCCTGGACGGACGGTTTTTTCCGCCTTTTGGACGGGTTTTTACGCCTATTGGACGGCTGTTTTGGGACCCTCAAAGTATGCCAAAGCAAGAGTGGGGTCCAGCTGGACTGGGTGGACGGTTGCGCAGACGACGGACGGACGGCGGCCGGACGGACGGACAGACGGCGGACAGACAGCTGACAGAAGGCTCCAAACAGTTTGCCTTTCAGCGGTTGCAACCTTTGAGCGTGTTTCACTATCAAATCGTCACTCGAGCCGGAAAGTCTCGGAAAACAACATTTCAGATGCCCCCAGTAGATTTGCAAGAGTAGCCAGGCCAAGGCCCGTTTCAAGCTGTTGCTTGCCTAGAGGTGGCTCAACACAAACACACGTTGTGAAAAGATTCCGTCGAAGGTAATGTATGCAAATAGCCAACGCATGTAGCCTTTTGTAGCTATTTGGTAAAATTATATTTCCTCCATCACCGCACCGCACCTCCCAGAAAGCATTTCAGAGCCAAGGCCTAAAGGACTCACAAGCGCTTGCTTTCTTCAAGTGGCTGTTGAAGAAACAAACTGGTGGGCGCCAGGCCTCGAAAAACTACACTTGCCGCCTGCAAGCAAAAAGCTTAGGTTTTTGTCGGCTTGGCGCCAGCCTGCGCAACGGTGTCAGTATATTGTTAAGCGTTGAGTAAATGCTTACAGGCAAGCGCGTGGGCTTTGGGCAAATGTGGCTGATGAATACACTTAAGCAGATGTTGCTTGATAGGTACAAGCTGTGGCGTCGCCATACATGGAAGAAGACGTTTGCTTAAGGCAACATATTTGGCTAAAGTTTTTAAAAAGGCCCCAGCGAGTTGCTGCGGTGTGTTAAATTCCTTTTTTTTGCACAACATATCTACTTGTCGCAGTCTGCACAAAAAATGGTCACATTGTTGTGACAATGAAAAAAACCCTTTTCGCACAATAATGCCATTTTGATACTATGACCCCAAAAATAAAGGTACAACGGAGACTCCAGGTACAGCTTGGCCGAAAAAGTAGCTGCCATGCAAGCTAGGTACTGCAAGGTATAGGTACTGTGGATGGAGAAACCCATCTCGCACCTAATGAAGCCATGGTTGAAACTGTTTTTTTTTAACGTTCGGGAGTCGAATCAGAAATCTAGGTCTCGTAGAACGGTGGTGCCAGACTCGGGGATTTCGCCACCATGTTCCTTCCATTTGCTTGTTTGTCCCCTGGACAAAATATACAAAATATGTCCAGTAGTGAAATCGATCCCGTCACACCAGGGGAAACTCAAAGACAAATATCGATTTGAGCAAATGGACGCCTTTTGAATTTGGGACCTTAGGTTTAAAAACACAGACTGGCCCGACAAGGGGAACAACACATCTCAGCCACTGGAAGAAAATTCCTATGGTTGTCAAGGGCCCCCCAATAAGGGCCCCTGTCAATCTCAATAGGGGCTACCGCTAGTAAGGCCTATGAGGGACTGGGGTTGTCCGCTCTTTGGGCCCCTGACAATCAGAATGGCTGGAATCGCATCCCGCGAAATCGGAACTCCTCGCCGCCTTTGCCAAAGTAGCCCCGCACCAGGCCTCGGACGACTTCATTCGAAGGCCCAAAGTTGGGCTTCGGCGTATTTTAGCCCCAACATAGGCCATGTGGGTCTATCTTGTTTTGGGGACCCCTCCAAAATGGTGGGTGTCCTTTGTCATTTTTTGGGGGGGACCCCTCCAAAATGGTGGGCTTCCTGTTAGTTTCCCGACCAAAAAGGGGTCGCGTTGAACAAAATATCCATTTGCTCCCCAACAAAGCCTCTCTGCGAGGCAAAACCTGGCCATGTGGGGCAAGCAACATACGCCCAACCCCAGCTACAGCCTTTGAGCGCTTGCCGCTCTCATGACCCCAAGCAAACTCATTTGAAATCGGCCACCGAAAGCTGATCTTTAAAGGGGAAAAAAGCTCGGCAATGGAAAGCCCTCACCGATCACTCGGACCCGAAAGCACATCAGCTCCTTTGCAAGAAATGTGGCAAGCTGGCTAGCTATATCCCCGTTGCCCGATGGGGCAACACATACGGTGACCCTCAAACTACTCCTGCAAAAGGGGCTACCGGATACCGCCCAAATTCTGAGTGATTCCCAGTTAGGGATACTGATACTTTGAGCAAGGTCTTTTTCTCACTTTTGCCAGACGCTACTTTTTGGTCACCGGTTGACCAGGGAGATTCAACAGGCTGCCTGAGGGTCCGACACGTGTCGCACTTGTTGGCAGGCAAACAGCCACTCTTTTGCAGCATGTGAGAAGCTGCCGCCTGCATTCCCTAATAGCAGCTGGACTAACCGACCTGTATATAAATGGAAGACTACTTCGCAATCCAGACATTTGTCTCAAGACCACAATCCAACCATCGCCCACAAACTACAAACCAAAATTGCATTGCCAGCTTTGCCTCATTCCCCACCTTACCAGAAGGATTCACCAAAATGGTTGGGCCATGGTTTCCCATTCTTGGATCCCAGTTGCCCAGTCACCCTGGCAGAAAAAGGGTTCCTCGTTCTGTTTGCTTGACTTCAATTCTATTCCCAGAGGGTCCAAGAACCTCGGTGTTAAAAAGGAGGGTCCCCTCTGGGATTGTGGAACCCAACCAAACATTTTTTTTTTCTCCGAGGGTCCCCTTTTGTGCGGCGCTTGACCGTCAAACATCCAAAGGAAGTGGCACTGGAGGTCCGGACAGCGCCAAAACTGAGTCATAAACTCCTCTAGGAAGGCGATGCTTCAAGTCTTGCGGGGGCCAGCAACTCTAGGTGCATTAAACAACTATAAATCGCACCAGGTAGATCTTTTCCCTGAATATTTAGGGGCTTTCCATCCCAACTGGTGCGAAAGTGGATGTCCATCCTGAGCGCTACCCCGGAGGAAACGCCTGTGCTGCTGTTTGGTATGTGTGAAAATAGGTGACCCAAACAGGTGTTCCTCTTGGCTTACCTTCAGCGCAGCCCAGCAGGGTAGCAACTCCCTTTTGCCTTTGTCCTTAAGGATTTGGCCACCCAAAAATGAGCGGCTTTGCGGTCAAACACCACCAAAAACCTCACACGCCCGCTTTCAGAATCGCTTGGGCCCGCACTCGACTCGCCAAGTTTGAGGCTGTCCTGACTCGCCCGGGAGGCCAAAACAATTCTCGGCGAGAGTCCTTGGATAAGCTCGTCTGTTTGTGAGGCTTGGGAAAGGGAAACCACCAGGTCTTGGTTGCAACGACCTCCCTGCAAAAAAGTGTCTACCACTTTTTGGAGGTTTAGTGAAAAACACAACTTAATTTCAACCAAAAAGTTAGTCTAAAGATCCGTTGCCCAATAGATCCCTGTCAAGATTGGTGGGGTCCAAATCCTAAAGGCTACAGCTGCACTGTTCACCAGTCCTTCCAGAGAAATCCGATTCTGAAAACTGGCGACGGAAATGTGAGTGCTTTCTCAGCGAGGGAGGAAAAAAAACGTAATCAACCTGACAGAGGTTGGCTGCAACTCACCCAGCGAAACACACCTCTTGCAGATTTTGTCTATGTAATGACTTGGAGTCCGGTAGTTTGGAGGTTAGTTTCACATTTGCCATCTGTCCTTTTAATGAGTCTCTCCTGGGGGCTTTTGGCAGACTCACTGCCAGATTTTACGTCAAAATGACCTCCCAAAAACTCGGAGAGCGAGAAAAAGGGGGGGTGTCTCAATCGGGGGGTCCCTTTTGGATGGCTTTTAAAGGACACAAACAAAAGGAAACCACCCACCTGGAGGAATCGGTCCCCAACTTTGAGGAACACCCATATGTGAACCGGCGGCCTCAGATTCACTGCATCTCTTTATATTCTGCAAGAAATTCCAACGCCTAGACTTGGATGTGTCTGTGTTTGAGGGTGCCACCTTTCTAGTGGATTGAAAGGAAAACCACAAGGAAAGCCACACAGACCCAATTAAGCCTCCCAGTATCCCAGCCCTGGGACTTCGCGAACATCCCAACAAAATGGTCAACTTTTCCCCAGCCTGATGCCAATGTGGGTGCCTTTTGCTGTGGGTAATCTTTTGGGGCTGGTTAAAAGGCAAAGCAAAACGAAACCGCACCCATTCTGGGATTTCCCCCTAATTTGGGATGCACAAACATGGGTCATTGCTGCTTTCATCTCGGGATTCTGGACAAACCCCCAAATTTGGGATACACAAATACATGGGTCATTGCTGCTTTCATCTCGGGATTCTGGACAAACCCCCTAATTTGGGATACACAAACATGGGTCATTGCTGCTTTCATCTCGGGATTCTGGACAAACCCCCAAATTTGGGATACACAAACATGGGTCATTGCTGCTTTCATCTCGGGATTCTGGACAAACCCCCTAATTTGGGATACACAAACATGGGTCATTGCTGCTTTCATCTCGATGCCTCCACTCACACAAAGTTGCAACGTCCCATGCCCCAACTCCTCTCGCAGCCCAGCTCGCTTGTTGACGCAACGGCCGCCTTCTTCTGCTGCGACAGGGCGAAAAAGCGCTTCTGCATCTCCTTGGCCCAAGCCACACGTTGAGGTGTGTGTTCTTAACGGCTCCATTTTGGTTTAAACGTTTACCCAGTTTCTCAAATCGTGCAACCCCCCCCCTCCCCATTTTTTGGTTGCCCTTTCTTGTTTTTCCTCCACAACCAGCTTTTCGCTTGTTTGCGACCTACTTCGGCTCAGCCAAATCACCGACATCTAATCCACGCTGGCTCAAACAGCTTACTTTCTAGCAACCGGAATGTTGTTTCTTGCGGGATGCTCCATGAACCAGGGTTCCACTTTTTAAGTACCCCAAGATAGACTTCCCAGGGGTTTTCCTTTGGGGGACATCAATCACTGGGAAGTCTATCTTGGGGTACTCAAAAAGTGGAACCCTGCCATTAATCCCTCCCGTGGGGTGTTTCTTTCTTCAACTGTTGCTTGAGGGAGTTCCCTGCTGTGGTGCCTTGCGATCTCTTTGCTTGAGTAGATCAACTCCCCAAGGGGTGCCTTGCCATGGAAATTTGGAGGTCTTGGATGCTTGGGTACAGTGGCAAAGATACACTTGAGCAAGCAAACGATTGTCACAATGTGGCAATGTCATTGTCAAGATTTGTTGGAACACGGAAGACATGTGCGTCCTTTTCTTGGGGCACCCTTTTTTGGCTTGCTTCAAAGGAAAGCCAAAAGAAACCCACCAATTTTGTGGGCCCGGCCTTTAAGGCACACACTCGCCCGTTCACTGATTCAGGTGTTTTTTTGAGCAAAAAACCTCCCCAAAAAAACAAAAACCCAAACCAAACCAAAAAAAACAGGTTTTCATTCAGCCCCCCCCAAACCAAAAAACATGACGCTGGATATACACCTTACCCCTAATTGGTGGTTTGGCTTGGTGGTGTGGAAGTTAGCGGGTAGCTTCCCGCTTACTCGCCTACAAGAACCATTCAAATCCTCAATCCAAACCACCAACTAATAGATATATATAGTCTGCTCCAACAAAAATACCAACAAGAACAAACTAATATATAGTCTGCTCCAAAAAGCAAAGGGGAACCAACAAGGGGGTCCAACCTTAGAAAGACCCACCCCACCCCAGCGCTGGAAAGTCAATCGAACTTGGATCGATCTGAGGCCCCAGCCATGTGCTTCTGCTGCAACTCTTCTGAGACTCCATGCCTTGATGCGATCCAACTCAAACCCCTCATACCCCCCACCCCCCAACCCCCCCCAGCCCCAAACAAAAAAATACACACAAGCAACAACAAGCTACTTTACTTCGAAAAAATACCCACAACAAACATGTACCTGCTCAAGGCTCAGTAGACGACTGAAACTGCCTGCTTGCTTTCAAGAAGATCGCTGGGCTGAAACTTCGGGCTGTTGCGGCCTGTTCATTTGGAGCCTCAGACTTCATCCTGCCACTGGCGGGAGCCTCAAGCTTCCTTTTGGTGTCTTTACATAGGGTACTCAGTGCTCAAAAAATGGCTTCCTCTCTTTCAACCCACTCGAAAAGGGGTACCTACTCCAAAAATGACGAGCTGCCCATGCATCTTTTCAAACGGTCTCGTTTTCCTGAAAAGGGAGTGGTGTAGACCAAAAAGGCGCCCATCATAAGCAAGGTGCTGAACAAGAAATTGTGGATTCCCTCCATATTTTGTGAACCACTGGCGGGTCCTCGTCCTCAAACCACAAGTTCGCTCGTGCTACAAAGCTAACGACACCAACAACAATGAATCTTTGAACCCAAGCCGAGATCTCAAACATACACGTCAATCACTAACTGTTGCCATGGAACGAATAACCCCCCTTCCTTGATAAGGAAAAGCCACCCAGCAAGAACTAATGGGAAGCAATGCTCCGGCAGTGTGTAAAAGCTGGGCGCGTGGAAAAGCAAAACAAAGGGCCTTTTGGGTTGCTCGTGATTTGTTCCCATCGGGTGGATGGGCCAACAACAAGTCTGAAAGTCAACCACTGAAATGGTCCAAACCCAAAAAGATTAAAGTTCAGGTGAGTGGGTTGTTAAGGTCCGATGATCCTCCATCGAACACTTGCCTCAGGCACAGGCCGCACTGTCTACATTGCATCGCGGAACTAAGCGCTATCTCCAGCTAGGACGTTAGCAATCGCTAGACATTTCAGCTTGATTGTGAGCCGTGTGTGTGCGCAAGCTCATCCCTCAAGATTGCTGAAGACATTTCCAGCGTGCCCCACACCGACGACTACGCTGGCTCCATCGGCATATGCTGCAATATTGCTGAATGTTGTTTGTTCACATCCCATGCATGTTTGCATGCATTCAGAATTGGGTCACGCCTTTTTCCTGGTCGTTCGTTTGGGCTGCTAATTCATTTGCCCGCAGGCCGGCGCATTGTCGTGCCGCTTCGGCGGACGCCCTCCGTGCGACTTAGCGCGAACACGTTCCTGCGTTTAAGTTCTGACCTGCTGCTGCTGGCAGTACTACTGGGACCTGCAGCAGCGGGTCGTTTCAGAGTGTGCGAGCGAATTCTTTCAGAGTCTCTAAGCCTTGAGCTGTGCAAGGGCAGCGTGGCTTTTGACACTGTCCCTTCTTGAATCAAGTCCTGAGTCCACACACGCCATTGGCGAGCAGTCGGCGCATACAAGGCAGCATTGTGCGCAACGAGCTTAGATAAAAGAATGATACGAAGTTTCAAGGATAGAGTTGCCTTGTGCAAACTCTGTATCTGCCGGAACCAATTGTTGAGTTCAGCGTGCAAGGCTTCATTGCTGGTTGTTCCAACCGGCATCAGAATTTGGGCAGCTTTTGACAAGCTCTGCCGGAAACGCAGGTTGTTAAACAGCCATTCAGCCTTATCCAACGCAGTCGATGCCCACAAGATTTTAAAAAGAGGACGTTTTGTCCCTGGTAACTTCCGGACTACATCCTCTCTATACACGGCAGACAAAGCAGCGATGGACTCAATGAACTCAATGCGAGCTCGCCACATTGTGCGACCGGCGAGCCCGTTCAATATGCTCTTTGCTCTCCTGACTGGCATGGACCCTTCAAGGATTTGATTCCGCAAGAACTCTTCCGGGGCAAGGAGGTGGGGGGCGTTTGCGCCAGAGAAGGCCGGGCCCCACATCGCTTCTACGACTGTGTCGTCGATGGCGCTGAATTTGGCCATGATCGACCGCAGTACCCGTGAGCCTACAAGAGAGTTCATGGCTATTTCATGTCACAAGCACATGCGCAACCAACACCAGTTGCACCTTCAACGCTGCTTGCTTTCACAACTATAACACGAATGAATGCAGCGCCTTCAGTTCGCTTCCCGCCTGAGATCACAGTAAGACGCACACAAAGATAAAGACAAGCATCATGTTCTCAACTGAGGCAAGAACCCATCACTGCTTCATACTTCATCGGCAAATGTATGGGATCTAAGCTCATTGTCTTGATCTTTGGCAGGATGTGGGAGAGCACGTCGAAAAGCTTAGCGGATGGCGCGTCGGTGGACACATGCTCTACTTGCTGAAGAGCACTGACTGGAAAAAGATTCTGCAGACATTCCGCGATGCAGTCTGATGCTTCAGAGCGAGAGCCTGCCATACCTAAGACTGCGCCTGTGCGGCCGCGAACTGTGATGACGCGCTGGAAGCTTTCGCTTTCGGGAATTGCTGCGGATCCTCTTGCGTCTGCAGGTATGTTGAATTTTGGCTGGCCCATCAAAGACATGCAAATTCTAAAAGTGCCATCTATTGAAATGCTTTGAAACTCACCGTGATGCGCTGCCTGACTGACCAGGCTTTGGTGAAGGTTGACACATGGCGGGGACGAGAAGACATCTTCGACCATTGGCCACCAAGACTTGGTGTGCATCGGCAGCAGGTTTGCCAGCTCATTCTTGGAGGATGCTGCTGCTAGAAGGAAACGAGGCCAGATAGCTTTCGCCTGCACACAAGATTCTTGAACAATGAAACCAGCCCTTTCTTACCAGAGTAGAATGAAACGACTTTGTTTGTACCGTGCCTTCGCATGGTTCAGCAACATTTCTCGGTATAGCTCTTCTGCAAAGTCCTGGGTGTAAAGAATGTTGCCCGCTCTTCGAACGTGCTTTCCTCGGATTGCATCAGCGCGTTCCAGGCGTGGTCCACTCTTGTGCAACACCATACGAATCTGCCGATCAATGGCATTCACAGTAGGTGACAAAGCAGGTTTCACTTGCGATCGAAGCAAAGAAGCGCTCCTTTGTAAGTACCGCTGTCGCATGCGTCCCAGAAGCTGGTCCGAGTCGTGCAAGCACATCAAAATCCGGATCTGTTTTGTGCCGGAGGCGACAAACTGGTTGTGTTTCTTGTGGTATCGACGCAAATGCGCCTTCACGCGGGCAGGCCTTGTAAATGTTCGCCATGGGCACGCTGGGCACCTATATTGGGACCCCATCCGCGGCAGATCCCCGTTCGACGCTGAGTCTACCAGATCAACAACTTCTGCCTCCAACATTGTAAGCAAGTCCGTGTCCACTGTAACATTGGCCAAGTCGTCCAACCAGTTGCCTCCAAAGTTAGCTGCGTCCTGTGGGCGTTGATCTTCACTGTCGCTGGCATGATCATCAGCTTGGACATGATCGGACATATCTGAAGCCACATCCTTGTCGCTTGCCGCAGCTTGAAGGTCCAGCAAAGGCAAGAGATGAGGCGGACATTCGCGCTCTTCCTCACAAAGCCTGAAGTACACAACGGTGATGGAGTCGATTCCAGCCAGCACACAGCTGCAGAAGTCTTCAAATGAAACGTCCCAGCAGCGTGCCACATCCACAATGTGCACCAATCCGTCCTTGTCAGGATGCAGGTTATAGGGCCAATCTAGTGCAAGCACCGCAACACTTTGCAAAATAGTTATGTTTTTTGGAAAGCGGGGCCTTGGATGCGAAGGAGAACCCAACGCAGTGAGGGCGACCACGGCACTCGGAATGAAGAAGGTACTTTCCCGGTGTCAAATCCTGAAGGTCTAAGGTTGGGGACAAGCTTGCGTGAAAATATTCCACACACTGACGGTATGGTCGGCTTCCTCTGGCATGATGCCATGTGTTCTCGCTGCTTGCAGCCTGCAACAACTGAGCAATCTCCGTTTCGTTGTCCTTCAGATACGCCAACACGCTCGGGATGCAATTGCCGTCTTGCTTCAACACGGGCTCAGTATGTCTCTCTGTGAAGCTGCCGCACGCTCTTTGCTGTAGTGATTCGAGCACGGTGAAGTGACATTTCTCTCTGATGGAGACGGCGAACCCGGTCTGCCCTTTGATATGCTCTTGTGAAAGGGCTATCAAGGATGCACTCGATTGCCCATCCGGCAGCCATACACGGACTCCATCATAATGCAAGGACAGGTGACCTAGGTTCATTGGCCTTAAGAGACTAGCCCAGCTTTGCAAGATGTAGTCTTCGGCAGCAAAGTACAGATGCGCCAGCGCTGACATATCTGGATTTTTTTTGGGAACTGGCTTGCTTAAGAAGTACTCATACTCTTGGTGCAGCAGCCCAATGGCGAGCCAGCGGCAGTAGATGGACACCCGTTGCAACTTCTGAACAAACTCGTTCTTCACCAAGTCTCCTGGCGGCACTGCCCCGTAAAGGAGCGACACCAGCAATGTTTTTCCTTTCTCAGGACTCGTGTTCAGAGACTCACGACACACTGCGTCTCTATCAGCAGCGCATCTGTGCAAAGCAACTCTACATTGCTCAGGAAGCGGTGGAAAAGGCTCCAGCCTTGTCAAAAGCTGATCCATGACCGTGAAAATGCAATTGTGTATATCCAGGTCGACTGTGTCAGGCAAAAGTAGCGCTTGCAATCTGCGAGAAAACCGCTGCGCGGAGATGCTGGACTGGCACTGTTGGCGAGTCCGAATGGTGTCCGGCAAAGTATAGTAATACTGCACGTCCACTTTGCGCCGGTTGCCCGCCGAAGCAACTTGCGATGGCTCACCTGCCTGCGAGCTAGCTTCTTGACCTTTGCTTCTCTTGCGCCGCTTGCAATCCGGAGGCGCGGCCTCTGCACTTTGCAATTGCATGTCCAGGACTTTCTCGCACATTTTCTCGTGCGCCTCGATCTTGGAAGCTCTTTCCTCGTACACTTCCCCCGGGTTGTCCTTCTTGACGGCTCGGGCTCCCGCTCTTTTTGTACCCTTGATGGCAGCAATGTAGACATCCAGCAG